AGTTTAAAAATCTATGGAAAAACACAGCAGGGTGTGGTGGTACACAACTGTATTCCCAGCACTCAGGAGGCTGAGGCAGGAGGACTGTTAGACAGTAAGACTCCATCTCAAAGAATTGTAAGCAAAAGAAAGGAAAAAAATGCTAAGAAAAGAAGGCAAACATGGAAACGAAACTTTTGTAAATAAGAAGGGGAAGGGGTTGAAAGGGGGAATGGGAAAAAAAGAATCAAATTGTGTTATGCACAGGTGTAGATTCCCTATAATGAATGTGATCATTATGTATACCAAAATGGACTAAGAGATGTAATTAATTTAAAAACAGAAAATAAACAAATCTATGGAAAAAATGGGAATGGTGATACATGCCAAAGGGCAAATATACAACCTCAGTAGTTTGAAGAGCCAACTCCTGTCTTAAAAATGACCACATAGCTTTATTTACTTAATTTATTTAATTTTAATTATAAAATTGATGGAAAAGGTATCTTCAAAATTATTAAAATGCTCATGCTGCTACAAATAACATCCTTGGCAATGGTTTACAAGTTGTTGTTGTTTTCCTGTATTTAGGGCAGGGTCTACAGGGTTTACAGGGTCTCACTAAGTAGATCGGACTTGTAGTGATTCTCTTGTTTTCAGCCTCTCAAGTGCTGGGATTAAAGTGCACACCACCATGCCCAGTCTCTTGGCAGTGGTTTAAATTTCTATGTAAGCAGGGTGTGGAGGCACACCCCTATAATCCCAGCGCTGGGGAGGCTGAGGCAGCAGGATCATTGCGAGTCTGAGGCCAGCGTGGGCTACAAAGTGAGTTCAGGGCCAGCCTGAACTGCATCGTAAGACCGTCTCAAAAAGACAAAAAAAAAAAAAAAAAAAAAATTCTATCCAAAATTTTGGATGACAATCTAAAAATGTGTAATGTGTACACATTCCGGAATTCATAGTATACCAGCAATGATACTCAAGCTGGGTGTGGTGGCATGTCCTTGTAGGCTTAGCTACTTGGGAGGCCGAGGTATGAGGACTGTTGAGCACAGAAGTTCAAGGCCAACTTCGGGAGTACAGTGAAACCCAGCCTCAAAATCAAATTAAAAAAAATTAAAGCGCACTACTGCACTGTACCACTGTTTTAGTAGCATATTGCTACCTAACAAAACACCTCAAAATACGATCTAAAGATCAATCCCCTCATTGGGCCTAGGTTCTTTTATGTTGGTCTTACTTGGAGTCTATCTTATGGGTAAAGTCAGATACAGCTCTGGCTGGAAGTAGGTTCATCCGGGGTAGAGGTTCCATGACATAACCTGAGGGCTGGGCCAAATCTGGCTAGACATCTGCTTTTGTAAATAAAACTTTATTGGAACACAGGTATTCCTATCTGTGACTACTATTACTCTACCACAGCAGAGCTGAACAGTTATGACACTGACCCTATGCTCTGTGCAATCTATATACACACACTCCTCGTCTAATGACCCAGCTGTTCCTGTGATTGGGTCGTTCAGTAAACTGGTCGCTAAACAAGGACTTGTATAAAGCATGTACATTACAATATTCAGAACAAAGACATTGTCCAAGGAAACTGCAACTCAGTGACTTTATTTCCGTAACTCTTACATGCAGTAATGTATAGCAGAGCATAAAACTGCATACTATTCAGTACAATCAGCAGTAACTGCAGTCCTGTACAAACAAGATGGGCCATACGAAAAAGAGATGGATGCTCTACCAACAGGATGCACAGAGCTATGCAAACACAGATGGGTTGCAAACACAGATGGGTTATAAGTCCCAATGCTCATTAAACATGCAGGTCATTGAACAAGGAGCATCTGTAGCCAACTGGGCCAGGCGATAAGAGCTTGCACTTTCTCCTGGATCACTAGCTCTTGATCCAGGTGTGATGGTGTGCACCAGTAATCCCAGCGCTTGGGAGGCTGAGGCAGGAGGATCACCAGCTTGGACTGTAGAATGAGTTCAGTCAGCCTGAACTCCATAGTGAGACCTTGTGTCAACAAAATAAAACAAGGTCTTTTAGCACTGGGTTATATAGCACAACAAGCTATGTCAACAGTGAATTGTTGTGTGTCTATGTGTATATTAGTGACTGAGCTCAGGGCCTTCACACTGAGCTATATAGCTCCAGACCTATTAGTTTTTTAAATTTTGCAACAGGGTCTCAACTAGTCACTAAATGCCCAAGACTGCCATTCTCCTGCCTCAGCCTTCTGAGTGCTGGGATTATAGGCACAGGCCACCACGCCAACTTTCCCAAATTAAAATTTTGATAAGCATTTATACATTATACAAAACTTCTCCCCAGGCCTAAGACAGTGATTGAGACTGGGCATGGTGGTGGCCCGCACCAGTAATCCCAGCACTTGGGAGGCTGTAAACGGATCACTACAAGTCTGATCTAGTAGTGAGACCCTGAACATCCTGTAGACCTTTCCCTAAAATACAAAAAAAAAAAAAATCTACTGAAGTGTAAATCATTATCACACTCGTGCTGGGTATCAGAGGTCCTTTCACACCTTATGTAAGTTGTGATAACAGGCCAGAGTCTGAGATAATATCCAGCTGTACGCCAATATTTAACTGAAAGAGAAAACATGATTTTGTAGCACCCGATGATTGCCCAGGTGCAACCATTCTTACCCTAATAATTTCAGCCCTGGAAAGAGATGCAGGGTGCCCTGGTACCTCTTGTTCTACCTTGACGGGAAAAGCAGCTATGGAGAACCTTACCCAATTCTGGGCAGGATTTTCAGAGGTGAGGACTAAACCCATTGTAATTTAGGGACCCACTGCTCCTAATTAGGGTAAAAATGCTAAGTATGTCATTAAGCGCCTGAAAACAAACTGCATCTGTTTAAACATATGGAAATTTTCTTTCAAGAGCAAAAGACCCCCTTCAATCTGCTAATGGAATTTACAGGCAACTGATGGAAGGAGAAACACTAACTAGCCTTTGAAAGGGAAACCACTGACTACATTCACATGTCCTTTAGGAACCTGTCAGGATTACTTTGTCACACACAGAACTGGATTCAATAAAAGTGTCACTGCTTTTTTATCAAATCAAAACCCAGCAGTCAGAGACTTCATGCTGGCCGCTTGGACAGAGGCGAGACCAGGCTCACGTCAATCAGGGCTCTGTGCAGCTCTAAGCGCCAGCCTCCAACACCAGTGCAAGAACGAAAGCAGAAAACCAGCGTACGTGAAACAGCCAAATACAAAAGGAGGTTCAAAATGAGGGAAAACGGCAAGTAGCTCAAAGAAAGAAAATATTTAAATTATGTCACATGGATCTGGTGGCACAGCCAACCACTAAAATAATTTCAAAAGAAACATAATCTCGGGGGTTATGCTGGGGAAAAGGCTGAAATTTTATACAGTATGCTTCCAATTTGGACTTATAATAGCAATCTTCTACTTTGAAGACAAAAAGGGAGGGAAAACATCCAGTTGTTCAAACTGGATTCGTAAAATGAGATTTTTAAATTGTCTCCATGTTCGGAAAGTAAAAATCCCGTTACTGAAGCCATTACCACGTGAACAACTCTAACAAGTACACACTTCAATGCTCTCGCCTTCAGATTCCTGTTAGCCCGCTTCGCATTCTGCCGAAACTCAACGGTGTGCAAAAGTTAAGATCCCGGGCTCAGGCCTGCTGCACTAAGAACCTTGAAGCTGGCACAGGGCACAGAGGAAGGTACTTTGTCACTACACGGCTTCTGCACCTCCAGCTCCACAGGGCCTTCTCTAGCTGTACCTGAGCACCTGCTCTCACGCAAACGGTAGATTCACAGGGTTGTGCTTTTAGGACCAGGCATATGGCAAACCAGGTGTTTGGAGACACTGCTGTCAAGCGCTGGGGCTGAGAAATCCTCAGGCAGGCCTGCCTGCCACCCTAGGGGAGGCCAGAAAATCGCCTGAGTTTGAGGACAGTCAGGGTTACACACAGAACATGTCATATCATACCAATTGATGCAGCAATGCCTGCGCTGAACAGTGAAGGGCAGTTTGGCTTCCCCACTGCTGGGTTTATACAAATGGCGGGAGGGCCTTCCCTCCACTGAGACAGGAAATAAACTTGACTGCAAACTGCCCGTGGAGCAGTGACCCTGCATCCACACATGGACCATCTCCAGCACCCCAAGCAGAGATGAGCCATCAGCCTTTTTCCTACTAAGTTGCCAAAAATAAGCATCATACATTTAAACAGGTCTCTATTTTCACATTCCGACCTAGACTAACACAAAGAGTAATCTGATTTCTATGAGCCTGACCTAAGGGTTCCTCATCAGGTCATGAATTGGTGCGGGTCTCCCACAGACCATCTTGCGACAGAACTAAGCACAGGAAGACGGGGTAAGGTTTCCAAGAGATACCAACCCAAGTGTCAGGCCCACTGCCATAAAGGACAGTCAGAAGGCTGAGGTGAGGCCTGCAGGTGCTCAGGGCCAGCCTGTACTACAGTGGAACCCTGCCTCAAAACAAGGGGAAAAGACCATGAAAATCAAATGGTACTTGAGTTTTAAAGCCATTCTTCTCAAAGCGCTTCCATAGCCAACAGTGTACCACCTGAAATACCAGCTACCTGGGACAGTGAAATAGAAGCACAAGCTGAAGGCCACTGTGGAAAAGCTTCAGAATAAAACTTTCAAGAGGGATTAGGTGCTGGTGTACACCTATAAGCCCAGCACTCAGGGCTGCAGCAGGAAGATCAGGTTGTCAGCCCAGGCTACACAGCAGGACCCTAAGGGTGTGTGGGGGGTGCTCGGAGGCAGAGCACTTGCTAGCTTCTGGGCCAGTCACCCCTCTGGGCCCTGGGCTACAAAGGGCGCTTACATGTCTAAGCAGTGGCCAGCGCTGCCTCCAGGAACTCACTCAATCTGTGACCCCAGCACAGCTTCATAGAAAGCAACACCAAACACAGGGCCTCCCAACACCATGGAGACCAAGCCTGTACACGAAGACAAAAATTACAACAAAACAAAGAACAAGCCTTTCCATCTTTTATTACTGCAACAGCTTCATGTTTTATTTAGCCTTCTGACTCTGTGCTTGAGCCTTCAACACTTTCACCACGATTTTCTGTTCTTCAATAAGGAAAGCGCGCTTGATCCTAGGGAGGAAAACAGTCGGTGAGCAGCTTCCCCAGCACAAGACAAGTATCATTCAAGAACTGAACAAGCAATCAAAGAATTCAGAAAAGCAAGTAAAACTCACAAGTGCCAAGTATAATAAAGAGCTGCAATCACTGGCTGGCCTCTTGGCCACTTCCAGCAGGAACACTAAACCAAAGCAAGGAACCCTAACCCACTCTCCCGAGAGAGCACCCACAGACAACACCCCACCAATAGCAGCTTCTGTATTATTAGGATCCTGGACACACAGATAAAACTCAATTTGCAAAATGTCTCAGAATGTTTTAACCACATTATAAAACCAGCCATGTGCTTGGCACTAAAAATTCAGAAATAAAGGAGGCAGATCTTGGCAATTTATTTTAATGTAGTATAAACAGGAAACTGAACGTCTTTCAGGCACCCTTGCTGCTGACTGGGCGCAGCCCTGTAATCCATCATATTCCAGCATTCCTGTACCTTAGCAAGCTGCCGTCAGTGTGCACCAATCTCCTGCTCTCCTCAGAGCCCTAGGATCCCTGAGATGCAGCCCAATGCCTTGCACCTTCTAAGGCCTTATTAACTGTACTTCATTAAATTATATAACTATTGAAGACAAAGCATATTTAAACTATAAAAAAATACTTATAGCCAATTTTGAAATTCTCGTTCAGTTTGTGGGTGCTCTAGAAATGCAACCCCCAGGAACACTGGGGAATCCACTGTAAATGGCTCCGTGGCAGGGGTTCAATCAAATTTGGAACCCACAGGCCAATAAAAATCTTCAAGCGCGAAGCCCAAATCTGCTCACTTTCCACTAGCACCAGCTGTGAACACGCGCCTCCCCTTCTTCCCTGAAGGCCCTCTGCCTCTTGCCCACAGGCACCCGTCACTCAGAGTCCACCTCTAGTGCCACCTCCCACACTCCCAGCTACCTGAACTTCTACATTCTCAAGTTGTTCCCTGTCCCTCATGGAAGTCCCACTTGTCCTGCATTTTCTGGGACGTGACATGCCTGAGCAGAACTCACCATCAGCCTTCATGCAATGCATGCTGCATGCAGCTTGGTAGAAATGCACCAGGCCACCTTCCAGAAGCAGCTGCAAGCAGGGAAGGGCCCGCCATGGCTCTCACTTCCCTCTCGGCAAACCTAAGCTCACCTCAGCACTGCTCATGCTAGTCTCCCTTCCTCCCAAAAAGATGTGGAGCAGAAGCTCCTCCCACAAGGAATCTGAAAGGGCTGAGGCTGAGCCAACCTTGCCATCCGGAACCCCCCACCACCACCATCTTTCAGGCAAATGCCACTTCCTCACCTTTCCAAGGGCAGGCTGTCTGTCCCAAACACCCATCTCTCATTAAAGAAACGGCTTTACTACTTACTCTGCATTTCTAATGCACCGTTCTTGGTTGTGCTCAAAACCTACTTCTTTAATAGAACCAAGCCAAAAACCCAGCTCTTGTTCTGCAAGGAAGGCCCTCCACAGCCTTGCCTTCTGCATTCTACCCACTGCAGAGCACCCCTCTCTGCTCCAGCCTCCCCACACACTGTTCCCTCACACCCTCCATTCACTCAGGATCAAATCACTAACACAGATGTTTTTTACCTGCTCCCCCTACAAAATCAAAGCACACTTCCAGTGAAGAATGCCCCCAAAGCCTGATATAACTCCTCTGTCCCTGACTACTCTGCCCAGGATCAGTTATTTTCAGTCACCAGCATTTTCAAAGGCAAGCCAACTTAGGAACTACTTCCTCCAGTCTCCAGGGATGTCCTAGAGCCCAGCACACAGGGCAACACACACCTCCACACGGATTCAGGAAGCCTGTTTGCTCATGTACTACCTACCTGTCACGGACACACTTGGCACACATGGAGCCCCCGTAAGCCCTGCTGACGTGCTTCTTCGTCTTAGACAATCTCATAAGAACTTTAGGCCGCACAGCTCGAACCTGCACAAAGAAAACATAAAACCGTCTGACAGTGCTTTACAGAACCTAATGCTCCTGGATTTTACAGTGGTAACGCAAATGTAGAGATTTCAAAGGGAAGTGGAACACTGACTACCTAAAGCATACTGCACCCGAGTATTAACTTACAAGCAAGATCTACGTTCTTGACCTGCTTAGCAAGTCACTTTCCACTATCACACAAGTTCCACCCCTTGCCATGAACAGAGATCACTCACCCCTCGAAGTCTGCCTGGGCATACACCACATGCAGATTTGGGGGCCTTCCCAACCTTCTTGGTATAGAGGTAAACAATTCTATTCCCTGGGGTTCGGGACCTAGAAGAAAATAAGAGTGTCTCAGCATTCTACAAAGAGTAAACAACAATACTTAAATTTTAATTTGTGGAAATACTTACAGCCTAGTTTTGTTGGAAGCAGTGTTGTAGGAAAGCCGACGACGGTACGTCAGGCGCTGGACCATTGTGAAGGCCTAAACTGAAAACCAGGTCAAGTTTTTCATTACAATGTAATTCAAAATTTAAAGCATCTTCATATAATTTATACAGAACCCATATCCAACAGGGTCCCACTGGCTAAAACTACCTGGGGTACAATGAGATTTTATCACTTTTCTCTAAGGTCTTTTTTGTATTTTTTTAGGATGGGTCTACAGGGTGTTCAGGGATTCACTACTAGATTGGACTTGTGATCCACCTGTTTACAGCTTCCCAAGAGCTAGGATTACAGGCTTGCACTACCACACCCAGTCACCCAGTCTCAATCACTTTCTCAGCACGGTCCAGGGGCCCCAGTCCCTGGGTCTGCTTGGCGCTTTAATCCGCTGAGCTATTTGGCCAGCCCTTAAGGTTTTCTTAAGGAATAAAATATAAAGCCACCCACTGGGACAATCATACATGCACCACCAGTCTCAAAATAAGTAAATGAAAGGGGTTGGAAATGTACATCGCTCAGTGACAGCTTGCCAAATAGGCAGGGAGTAATGGAAGACACGAACGCTAGTTTCGTACACTCAAAGGCAGCATTGAAGTTTGCAATGGTATCCGAAAAAGGACTCCTACCAAGGTGGAGAACCACTGAGCTCTGAAGTACAAAGCTCGTCTCCCCACAACTAAGCCGGGGTCTTAGGTCTTCCCAAGCGGCCTTCAATCCAGGGCACCTGCCTCTTACTACAACTCGCTCTGACACTAGACAGTGCCCCTGCGTTACGGCAACCGTTTTCCCCCGTTCATAACTTCACTTAGCAAGCCGGCGACATAGCACATAAACAACTTGTCACAAGCGCCTAACATTACATCAAAGCGGAGCTATCACATCCCGAACTGACACGCAGACCTGCGCAAACGAGCCGAGAGGCCAGCGCGCGTGGGCATCTCCAAATGGAGAAACCCCCTGAACGGGTTGTCTCTTCTCTGACACCACCCGTAAAACGCAAGCCCTGAGGGAGGCAGCCACTCGGACCTGCCGGTTCCCGCCCTTCCACAGCCTGAAGACTTTCAGGACCGCGGGGTGAAAACACGGGTGCTAAGATCAGAAAAGGCTAGGGAACTTCCAGTCCCAGCGGCCCAACCATGGCTCCTCCGCCTCCTGATTCTGTACGGCGAAAGTGGCAAAGCGCGGTGGCGAGTTCCGTCAACGCTTCGTAAGGGCTGCCAGCATTAAACGACTTCCGAAGCTAAAATCGATAATTTGCTCACCAACAGCCTCCCTCCTGCACCCTTCAGCCTTACGCTAGCTCGAAAAACCGTCCCCGAGAACTCCCAGACCCCGCAACAATTCGGATGGCGGTAGATTGTAAACAGAATAAGACAAGAACAAGAAACAGCCATCCATACCTCCAGACGCCGTACCCGGAAGAGGGAAAAAGAAGTACTTGCCAGTTCAAAGGTCAAAAACTACTGCGCAGGAGAGGAATTGCGTCATAACCAGCGGTCTGCCGGATAGAGCGCCACCATGCTGTACGGAAGGTTTAGGATTTGCGAGGCACCGCCATATTGTACGGAAACTTCCGAGGGCTGCTATCTGCCGTAGCAAATGCAGGAGAATGCACACAAAGGTGTTCGGGGGACCAATGTAGAAACAAACACACGTGACACAGGAGACCAAAAGGACAAAGTCAAGACAAAATAAACTTTTTTCTCTCTTTTCGTCTTTTCTTTCTTTCTGAGACAGGGTTTCAGGCTGGCCTTGAACTCTTTTTGTAGGCAAGGCTGCCTTTGAACCAAAGCTTAGGACACTCCCTTAGGTGATCTTCAAGGATCTTTCCTAACTCTGCCTGCTCTTTTGTCTTTTATTCGAAGCACTAACTTTACAATCAAATGGAGGTTTCAGTCCAGCACCTGCCAATTACTGGCTGTGTTGCTTTTGGACAAGGCAGATGGCAGCGGAAGCTGCAGTGTGCTGGCCTGAAGTAGTGTGCAGGGTCCACCCGGGAGAGCCGAGCCCGCCGAGCCGCTTGGACCTGCGCCGGGGCTAGGCCTGGCTGGGCCGGCTGCTCTCCGCGGGCATTTACGCGAGTTCCTGCGCTGAGACAGTGGAGCGCGCCGGGCGCGACCTGCCTGCCTCAGCCTCCTTTCCGCGGGGGCCCGCGGGGCTTTCGCCTGCCTGCCCCAGCTCTAGCACTGGTTTGATCTCTGATCTTTGCTGTCTGAGATCCTTTTTGTGTCGTACCCGTCCGTAGGCTGGGGGCTGGTGGAGCCCCGCCTTTAATTTTTAGTAGGTAGTAAATGCCTGTAATCTCAGAACGCGGGAGACTGAGGCAGTAGCATGGCCAAGAGTCCGAAGCCAGCCTGACTACATAGTGATCAAGGCCAGACTGAACAACCTAGTAAGAAAAGAAAAAAGTTAATAATTCTTTTGATGCAGTAATTTAAAATATTTGCCTAAACAGTGAGTATGTGTAGCTTGATAAATTTTCAGGTTGAGGTCGGGCGAGTTAGCTTGCTTAGGCAAGCTTAAGCAGGCGCTAGGGGACTGAGATTCGATTCCGTCACCACAGGCTGTACCAGCCCCGCCATCAGAGCGCACTGAGATGGCAAAATAAATAAATAAATAGATAGATAGATAGATAGATAAATAAATAAATAAATAAATAAATAATCCAGATGGAACACACCTAGCCCAAGCCGTTTTCGTCGCTTCTCAGGACACCTGTTCCCTCCTCTTGCCCAGAGGACAACCACAGTCCTGACTTTCAACCTCCTGTGTACTTTTCTCCTTTTGCTGTGCTGTCTATAATTGTCTAACAATTCTTTTTACTTGGTTTCTTTTGTTCGATCTTACGGTTGTAAGGTGGTTCATCTATATCCTTGTTCATTCCTCCTGCCCCAGGGACTCCCGTGGAGCAAATACACCCGCTGGCCTTTGGAGGGCCATTGTGGTGTCCAAATTCAGGCTCTTTTGGAGAAGACAATGTATACACTTCAGTAGAGCATGTGCCTAAAGGTGGAACGCATGGACCACGTGTGCACGTGTGCAAGGGACTTCGCGGAGAAGGCTACGGCTGAGCACACCTGCAAGCCGAGAGACGTGGGGGAGGGGTGCAGGGCACCAGCGGCTCCTGCTAGGTACAGATTCCTGCTGCCAGCTGGTTTTTTTCTTTCAGTTCTTTGAGTATTCCGTCCTTCCTTTCTCATCTTAAATCATCTAATGAGAAGTAAAAAAATTTATCTTTTAGATGCTTAGAGGGAATTTATCTTTTTTCTTTAGCAGTCTTCTGAAACCTGTTCTCTTTCATTTTGGTTCGCTTGGTTTTACTCCAATGTATTTAAGGATGCTTCTCTTTTTATTTAATTATATTTCATTCACAGGGACTTTGGAATTTTAGCTTGATGTCTCCCATGAGTTTTAGAAAATTTTCATCCACTATTGGTACAAGTCCAGTTTCTCTCTGAGACTTAAGTTGAATACTATATTCCTATCACCATATCTCCAGGGCTTTCTTCTGATCATCAATTGCTATATGACAAACTAGTAGTGTAAGTAGCATTAAATGACACCTATTTTTGTTATTGTGATGGTTAATCTTGTCAACTACACTGGCTTGGTAACAGTCTGGGCAATTAGTGATAGTACACTTCTGGATGTCGCTGGAGGTCGTGGAGGCCTCCCCTTGGCTCTCTGGTCCCAGCCCCTTCCTCTCTGCCACTGCCCCTGCGCTGCTTCCTGGCTGTCAGGCACTAAGTGACTTGCTCCACTGCACCCTTCCGCCTGGCGTCCCGCCCTGGAACCAGGTGAGCATGGGCTGAATCCTCTGACACCCTGAGCCACGGCTGACCAGGGTAGTAAGACCCTGCCTTCCACGGTCAGGAATTTCTACAAGGTGTAGTGGAATGATTTGTTTTTACTGCATATGAAAAGAGTCCCAATGGGAAGAGGGGACTTGACTCCCTGGGGTGTGTTAGGATTCTCCAGAGGCACAGAACCAATAAGTTAGTCATCTTTTTTCTTGATTGACTCAGTATAGGAATTGATTCATGTGACGACTAGAGGCTGACAGGTCCTGGATGCCTGTGAGTGGAGTCGGGAGAGTCAGCAGTGTGTCAGTCTAGTTTGGGTCCATAGTGCTAAGATCCAACAGCACTGGACAGCGTAGTGACTCAGTGAGGTGCAGAAGAAGAAGATGGGAGGGTGTGGGAGAGGAGGAGCAGGAGGAGGGGGAGGGAGGGGGAAGAGGAAGAGGGGCAGGAGGAGGAAGAGGAGGAAGGAGAGAAGGAAGAGGGGAAGGAAGAAGGGGAGGAGGAGGGGAGGAGGAAGAGGAGACAGGAAAAGTTGACCAAAACCCGTACCATTTTCTTTGTGAATATTATCCTAAAGACGAAATAACAGCTATTCAAATAAGATATATTTTAAATGAAAGAATCTTCAAAATTAACACATCTTCTCAATATATTTGAACATTTATCCTTAGCAAGTTTCAGGAAAGAATTTAATTATAGAAGATATTAGAAAAAGTATATACTGTCTCACACTCAAATCTTGGTTTCTAAATATCATTCTCAGCTAATAAGAATTAGTTTCTTGGGCCAGCCAGATTGCT